TATTGAGTAGTATTTTTAGACAAAAAGAGTAAAAGTAGAAATTGAGATTTTGGGAATTGATAATATTAAAAACAAATTTTAGAGCAAATTAAGAAATATTATTGATATTATGAAATTGTAAAAAATAGTTAATAGTTTTAGTAAATATAATATTTTTGCAAAATTTTTTTATTTGTATTAAAATAAGATGATTGTACTAAAAGAAAAAAATTAGAGAATTAAAGTTGAGTATAAGAGGTTAGTAATTTGTATTTCTTTTTGCTAAAAAGTTAATATTCTAATAAAGAGAGTTTTGAAATAAAATTTGATTTTGTGAAGTAGTAATAATTTCTATATAGTTTTTTTTATCAGACATAAAGATACAATTTGAATATTCTCAAATTTAATTTTATAACAAAATTATTATATTTTTTTTTTTTTATTTTTAAGGTGGCTTATATTGCCAGGCAATTTTTATTAATTTGATATATGAGGTCCCATATGAGGTTCCTCTACAGTTTTCAGTTATATGAAGAGTGTACAACAAGCCACATATACAACTTTAGTCATTGTCTAATTTAAGTAGTCTGCTATGCAGGCATTAGACCATCTGTTAGTACTACACTATGCTGCCATACCTGCAACTCATCTGTGAGTTACCTATTTAAACACTCTGTTCAACTAACCTATTCCTGTTACAAACTAATGTCACTGTAACACCTAACTATATATGCCAGCTAGCTTGTTATGAATCTATATCTCGATACCAGCTTAGATCCTCTCAGAATGCATGTTGCTCATCATATTATAAACATGCAGAGCTCCAGTTAACCTTGAAGCAAACCTACTAGAGCAGCCTATGTTCATTTCATGAACTTACTTAGCTTAGACCCTTGTAGATATTTGTATAACCCTGGTTTCTTCTGTGGCTCTCCACCAGTTTTCTGTGTCTATCTTCTTGGATGTTTTATGAGGCAGATCCTCCCAATCCAGTTAGCTACCAAGCCAGGTTGGTGTTACTGATCCTTCCTGTGGAATGAATTTATGTGCACCTAACTCAATCTGCATCTTTTGATAATAGTTTCCTTTCTGGATCAAGTGTTAGCTGGTATGACTATCGAAAGCTATACTACTTCACCAACTCAGGATTTCTACCATACAGGTCCCCTGTCTATAGATCAGTATGCATATATTATCCTGTGATTAACTACTACTACACTAATGTTTTTCCTATCAAGATTTATTCATATGCGCATATTATCCTGTGATTAACTGCTGCCACACTACTAATGTCTGATTGACTTGGTGCAACTTAACTTACAGAGTTATAATCCCAGAAATGAACAGAGTTTGCTGTAAGTTAGATACAAGGTCTGAGAAATTTTTCAAATTTGTCGACAGTAGGATTTGAACCCCAGACCTAGTGCATGGCAGTCTAGCAACCTAATCACTATACTAAGATTGCCAGACCTTACAAAATTATTATAAAGAATTCAGATATTTGTTAAATTTTAAATAGAAAATGAATAAGATGATTTCAATAAATCTAAAATCATTAAAATTCAATTACTAGATCTCAAGAATGTTAAAGTTTTGTATTATTTTAGATTTTTAAATATTAAAAAATAATACAAAAACTTAATAATCTCAAGATCTTATAATCAGATTTTAATGATTTAAACTTATTCTAATCATCTCATTGAGTACAAAGTAATCATTTTGATAGTAAAATCATCAAAAATAGACTAGTGAATCTAAAGTCAAATAGTTTACTTTACTTATTCAGTATAGCTATATGAATAATTATTTAGACAATATATATGTATGCATGTCTTTATGTATATGATGCCTATCTCTAAAAACTATAGGAATGAAGAATTGTTATAAATACTAAGACTGAAATATCAAGACTGATCAAAAAAATTTACTTGAATTAAATTACTTATCTAAAATATTTACTTACTTCACAAAAATCATATTTACTTGAAAACATTTTCTTATAATAAGATATTATTTCTATTTTATTCTTTTTATTTGTATTATTTATTGTCTGGCTATTTATGAATCACCTCTTCTGAAAGGTAAAATATTTGAAATCAATTATTTTTATTAACTTTCATCTAATTTTTCTATATTTCATTGACAGATCAATATAATAACCTTATGAAGTGCTGTACTCTAGTGCTAATAAAAAAGATTATAAACCTAATAAACATTGTCAAATTGATAATGATGCACAAGTTCTTGAGAATATATTAATAGATGTTATGAAAGTAGTGAAAGTTCTTGTCCTCCTCCAATATATTAAAAATTTGAAGGATCAATAATAAACTTTTTAATTTATTAAACTAATATATTATTTACTATGAATATATTCTATAAATCTATAAGCATTTTATTATTACTTAAAATTCTTAGCTATTCTACTTTATCTAGAATAATATTCTAATTAGCATCCTATATAGTTATTTATTTTATAGTATCATAAAAAATATTTTATAAACTATTTTATTAGACTGCATAGCTTTTCTTGTAAAAAAAAAAATTTTTTTTATAAGGCTATAACAAGAAGATATGTTCAATATTTCTATAGCTTTTTTTTAAAAAAAATTTTTTTAATAAATATAAAATATAATAATAGTAAATTGAAATAATTATAAACTATATAGCTTACATTATTTATTTATAATTCAATGTAAAAATTTCTTGCAATGTTGAATATTGTAATATTTTAGGCACTCAAAAAGTTTTATAAACAATCTATTTCTAGTGTATTGCTTAATGCAAATATTGTATATCAGTATCTAATCTTAGTTGCTCTATAAAAAAAATGTACTAAATTAGCACAGATAGTTTCTAGATTTGTATGAGTATAGTACAAGTTGGTACAAATTCAGTAGAATATAAATAGTTTAGGCTTTTAAGTAACTTTCTAGTCAAATTAGCATAGGTAGTAATAAGCATATGTGAGATTTTTAATATGATTCTCAATTCAGGCTAGCTAGCCTGCATTAACATAATTTTAAGAAACCCACAATGTAATCCTATTTTACATATTATATGCAAATCATATACATACCTGCATCCTGCATAAGATATTTTGGAAAACTATAATTTGCTTTTCACTAGGTATGGGTAATAATTCATAGTAAGATATTTGTATAATTAGCTGATGTAAATTAATTGCTCAGGTAACTTATTTATATACTTTAAAGTACTTTTTGAGAATGTAACATTTCACCAATAAAAAAATAATTTTTTTTTTACTATTATCTTATAAGAGTAACCAGAAACATTTTTATATAAAACTATTTTATTATATTAGATTTTGAATAAATTTTTATGCTTCTGTTTAATTTGAATAGGTATAAGCTCTTTAGTAGTAGAAGACCTGGATTTTATATTTAAATTTGGTCAGTTTTTGTAGTGTGCTTGGATTTGTCAACCGTGAATTAAAGTTTGGTTTATAGCTTGTAGATTCTTTAACAAGCGTGAGTTTATTATTAATAAATATTATGTTCATTCGTGTTTATCTATTTTCTAAATATATGTGATAAATTTCTTTACATTTAGTTATGGTTTATGAGCTTTTTATATTCATTTTCTAGCACTGTAGTATTATTATAAGTCTTCTTAAAAATTACATATTTTGATTAGTTGATTATCACGGGAAATCACAAGTAGATCTACAAAAATTAGCTAATCGTAAGAATATCTTCTTATGAGGTAATGATATGTATCACTGCGATAACAAATACAAATATGTAAAAACATAAAAATTACATTAGTAATCGATATAATATGAACCAACTAACTGCATATGAATTAAAATTTTCTGGGAGCCCAACAATTTATGCCATCTTAAGACATCAATACAAAATAATTATAATAATAATAATAGCATATGTTTGCTACTATTAAATACTAAAATAATGCTAAAATTTCAATGTTTAATTGATCGCGAAAATAGAATTTTATTGAATCTACATAAAACTTTTATAGCATTAAAAATTTTAAAATATAATTCAATTATTGTGCCTTAAGTTTTTTATTTATATTTTAACTCGTTAGAAAATGCAACTTTATATGAACTTTTTTTTTTTTTTTACAAGATTGTCCATTGGTATTAAAAAAAGTTTACTTATAACATATTAACACATAATAAGAAAACTGCTATTTTGCGCAATAAAAATATTTGGTGACTTTTTTTTTGCTTTGAACAAAAATTCCTAGTTTTTTTTAGAAATTCTAAGGAGGGAAATAGAGCATAAAAGTAACGTAATTAAAATTTATATTGGCATTAAAATAAATCAAATAATAATATTGATTTTGAAAATATAAAAATATAACATTGACTTTTAAAATATAAAAATTCTAATGATAAAAGTATAGAAAAAAAAAGATAGTTGGACTAGATTCGTTTACAGTATTTCACTTTACATAATTTTGAGAATTTGCATGCATTTACATCGAGCCACAATTACAAACAGATAACTGTGTAAATTGTATTTAAAGAAAAAATAATAATACATAGAATAACCACTACATTCTTACTTTATTACGAATGAGGTCAGATTAGAATTGAAGCCTAATTAACTTATTTTTAACAGAACTATTCTAAATATGTATTTTCACACACATAATCCTAACAAACACTAACTATAAATCAGCTAATATTAGTTGTTAGAGAAAATGAGTACACTAAATTTTGTTAGAAATATCATGTGAAGTAAAAGGGTTGTCGAAAACATATATTCCTTGTCAAAAAATGTGCTTTAGGTAAAATACAGTGTCAGGAAAATAACTTTTGAGGAATTAGATGACAACTGTAATTAATACACATCTCAAGGACAGAAGACTTTAACTACAAACCAATATTAAAACAAGAGTAATAGCTTTGTTATAGTAAAGTACAAGTTATAATAAATGTATTTTCTTTATAAATCTCTTGTATCGATAATAGATTAAAGATGAATTAGAACATTAAAATTTAAAGGATAATATTAAAGATTCATTTATTAATGACGAAAGCAGTCTCACTTCATCCTTCTCGCTCTTTATTAGAGGTCTGTATTACTTCACAAATACCTTATTTCATAGATGATTAACTCACCAACAAGTTCATTTTACAGACAACCAATTCATAGAAAGGTTTAATTCGAAGACAACTTATTTCACAGATAACTCATTTCACAAATAAGTTCATTTTTTACAGAATTTAAATATAGATTATATCTTCTGACATTTGTGGGTTACAAAATTAGTGATTCGACGTCTGATTTCGGATGAAATAAGTGACATATCATATTTATTTCAAAATAAGTGACTTGCAAAGTATATTTTATTTTAAATCAAAATCGTAAACCTCGGAAAATAAGCACATCTATAATAAAATTTATGTTCTGTAAATAAGCACACTTATAGTATCGAACAATATTGCATCATTATAACTATGTATAGATAATTAACATGTTTTTATAAAGAAATTCATCATAATAAACTCCAGTATGTTATCGATTTTTAAATAAGCACACCCATTATTTATTTTAAAATTGTGATTATTTGTATGATTACTTTTTTATCAACGATTTTATCTTCAAAAATAAAAGTTTACTGATTCATAATTTCGACAATCTTATTTTATTTTCTGACTTTGAAACACATTATTAGAATGTTTCAAAATTAAATTTAAAATAAGTGAAAGTTTTAAATTCCGAAATCAGAAAGTTAAATAAGGACATCAGGTATGAAATTTATAAACTTTGTTAAAGAAAATAGGATTCATAGATGTCTCAATTACTGAATTAGAAATAAAATACCTCAACTGTTAATTATTTTATCTGAATTTTGAAACCCCATTAAGTCCAATTCTAGCCTTAAATGAGTTGCTTACGATTTGTTTTTCCGTAAAACAAACTTTGTAAGTGAATTAATTGCCTTGAACTAAGGTGTTTGTGTAAAGTGAGGCATACTTATTTAGCAACTTATTTCTATTTTGTTACATGAGTCAAACCAGGTTTTTAATTTGACATAAAGCTTCTTAATTAGAGCAAATTGTCGAGTTGATCTGTGATAAACAAAAATTAGGTTCTTTTTTTTTTTTTATCATTTGTAATCACTTGCTTACAGTGCAACTTCATTGTTACATATATGGTTAAATGTTACTCTGAATGATCAACATGTGCATATCGAGAATATTTTAAAAGGAAGTCAAAATTTTCGTTAATTCAAAATCACAAAATATCCGTATTTTTGATCGTGAGTATTCAGAGTTATCAAAATTTTCGTTAATTAAAATAACATGAATCTGAACAATAAAGTTACCTATTGGTGAGTATATTATTATTTGATAATTTTAAAATTCAACTCACATTAATTTGGGGTTTTTTTTTCACTTTCATTTTTTACTAGTAGTTTAGTAATTTATAATTCCGGAAAATATTGAAAATGTTTTTTATCAGGCTCAAGCTAACAAAAGTTCAAATATCTTCTTCATTATTTCAAGGAACTACTTTTATTTCATCTTCTAAAAGGCATTTATTAATAAGATACTTCACATCTAGAACTTTACAAGAATCAATAAATACTAAAAAAATGTCAAAAAAGCGTACCGATGAAGAATGGCAAGCAGTACTAACTAGTGAGCAATTTAAAATTATAAGACAAAAAGGAACTGAATTGCCAAATACTGGAGAATATAATAAGTTTAAGGGAAAAGGTAAAAAAGAAAATTTTTTTTATAGAAATACGGTTTATTTAATTTTTTTTTGTATTTAATTTATTCGATTGTGTTGTTACATATTTTATTAGGTGTATATAATTGTGCAGCCTGTAATACACCACTTTATATTTCTGACACAAAATTTGATTCTGGATGTGGTTGGCCTGCTTTCTTTGAGGCTATTCCTGGTATGTTTAATCTTCAATATTATCTATAATTATTTGTCTAATTTTTTATTTGAAAATTTGAAGGTGCTGTTAATCGTCATGAAGATCGATCCCTCGGAATGAACAGAATTGAAATTACTTGTGCAGCTTGTGATGGTCATTTAGGTCATGTCTTTAAAGTAATTTTAAATTTATTTTCATTTATTTTCATTTAAAAATCTTTAAATATTATCTATTTTTATTAACGATATTTATTTAAAATAGGGTGAGGGTTGGAAGCATACACCAGCTGATGAAAGGCATTGTGTTAATAGTGTTAGTCTTAAATTTTCTTCTGAAGAGGAAGAAAAAAAAGATTAATACATAAAATTTTTTTAATATATATATGTGTTGATTATATCTTTTTATTATTATTTTCAAATTTGCATTATTTAAGATATATTATTACTTTTGCTAAATAATAACATTACTTTATTAGTGTCTTAAATTTTTGAATAAATCTATTTATAATCAAAGTTGTTCAACTATTAGATCACAAGATTACGTATGTAATGTAAAACAAATTCTGACTTTTCAAAAATAAAGTTATTATTTATCATTGCCAATTATCGAGACCAGGATCTATTTTCCATATAGTGAAGTTAGGGATATTTGACCTTTGAAAATCCAATATGAATTAAATATATTAAACTATTTAAACCAGAATTCGCATAGAAAAATATAAATATTTAGACATCCCTAGTGGTGCTGTAACTGATTTAACGTAAACTAGATGCAATCGAGAACGTGATGATAAAAAGTCATAATTCAAATTTATTTCTATAAATTTTTTTTAGGCATATTTTTAATGTTTTTGTTTATTTACTAGAAAAAAAAAAATGGCAGTGTTTTGTAGGCTGGAGCCTTAATTATTAGGTCTTATATTTTAAAAATAAATTTATATTTTTTAAATTCTACAGTTAGGATTATATTTATAATAAATTTATAATGACAGTAATCATCGTCCTTTCATTAATCCTTGTTGTAAACATGCATTTTTTTGCAAAACATCAAAAGAAAATGCAATATCAAAAAGTAGATCATTAGGAGTACGTCTCAAATGTAATTCCTGGTGAAATTCCTTATTTCCAAGATTTATTACAGCCTGCAAGTTCCTGGTTTTTCCTCTCAAGTGGTCGAATTGGTACTACTTTATGGTTTAGTATAGATAATGTTGGGCCCTTATACTTATCCATTTCAAGCAGAATTACTGTAGGCAGTCGGGGCGGAGTCCTTCCTAGTTTATGTTGGTTTCTTAATTTGCATGTTCTTCATGGTTTTAATATTAGTCATTTGCCGTTAATTGATGTTTTCTTGTCTTTTTTGTGATTCATTTTTTCTATAAAGTTAACTGTTGTTCTTAGGTCATTAAGTTTATTCATTTTCTTCTACTTGTAGTTCGTTACTTATGGTTATTTGCTCAAGAGTGTAAGTTCTTTAGTGTTCTTGCATTTTAAACATTGGAAAAGAATTTTAATAAAACTACTAGAAAATTTATATTAATAAAATCAATATATAGTCAACTCTCTTTAAATACAAGTCAATAGGCCAAAAAAATATTTTGTATTTAAAGAGAATTTACAATTAAAAAAAATCAAATTAATTATATATAAATAATTCTTTCTAAATGCAAGTTAGTAAGTTAGAAAAAATATTTTGTACTTCGAAAAAAAACTTGTAATTAAATAAATCAATTTAATTACTGTAGTTAATAATTAAAATTTTTTTGGAAATTACAGAATAAAGAACTTGTACTTATTTTATAAATCCCAACTTGGTCCAAGGCTATTTTATTTTATTTAAAGAGAACTTGCACTTAGTGAATGTGTACTTAGAGAGAGTTGACAGTAGTAGCAATTAAATTTTTAAGTGCTGATTACATAAATGATTTTGGTAGTTCTTATTATCCGTTATGCTAGGATAGTTGCTGTTACATGGAAAAATGTCTTGTAACAATCGTAATTCATAGAACGATTTTAGTGACATATTTAGTATAGTATATACAGATATAGCATAACTAGCAGATGTAGCAGATATAATGGTTTTAGCATAATTAGCATATTTCAAATTATATATAAAGAACGTAACTAGTGAATATGTAAAAAGACAGTTTTAACAACTCATAAATAAATAAAGGATACATTTGTTCATACCAAATATTAGAGGTCGGAACCGAATTATGAAATTAGACTTCAACTTCGGGTTAAACCGGTTTAAATAGTAAATCGTTTTGTAATGTTTTAATTCGGTTGTAACCCTCCGACAAACCGGTTTTTAAATTAGCATTCGGTTTTATTTTATTTTCTATCAAATTTCGAAATTACGTGTTAATAAACAATATAACAAAAAAGTAATTTCAGGTTTTTTTTGGGCTAAATATTTATCCGACGATTCAAATTAAATTCGGTTTAAGCCAATCCGGTTTAGCATAAATCGGTTTTTTTCATAATCGTATTTAAACAATTCGGGTTTTAAATTTTACAACCGATTCCGACCTCTACCAAATATAATGCCTCTTTCAAGAAGTTAAAACATATATTACACAAATTCTGTGAAGTTGAGTGACATTGTCACACTATTTCTTGTTAGTAAAAATCCCAGTAGTCACAGTACTAAATTAGACAAAATATCTAAAACTTTACTATAAACTCAATTCATATGTTTATTAGTATTATTCAAGGTCCTGGTCAGTCAGTATCTTTTTTTCCTCAATATATATGTTTATTGAAATAGTAAATAATATCTATTTTAATAAAGTTATTTAAAATCCTTCATTAACAAAACTTAATAATTTAATAAATTAAATGTTGATGTTAAATTTGTGAATTACTAACTGATCTGTCGAAGAATACAATTCTAATTATCTATATTTATTATATTATTAGCATTTGTTATCTAATTATTCAGCATAGGGGTAGCTTGCTAAGTAATAGACTTTACAGAGCATTAACCAAGAGCTGTAGCTAGAGCAATAAGCAAAGAGAGATATATATATATATTATATCTGATGCATTAGTTGTTAGAGTAGTTAGTAAAAACATAGTTTGATTTAAGACAAGTACTATATTGTCTGATACTAGAGCAATATTAGTTTCTAATCTGTTATCTAGAGGTTTGTATTTGCTAAGAATTGGGATTATTATTATCTATAATTTGTTAAGTATCTAAATATGAGCTGAATATTATAGAAAATAAGAAAATTAATAGTTTTATTAAAATTGTCTTTTTAAACTAAACTTATTCAAAATTAATACAGAAAAATTTTTAACTTAAAAATAAATACTGTTATCTTAATAAAATTTTGCATAATAAGTAAAATAATATAAAAAATATTTTGATTTGATAAATAATTATATGATATTCTAATATAAATTATAATTTATAAATCTATTATAAGTCTGCAAACTAATTTTCTAATAACTAAATCAAATTGATTATTACAATAATCAAATTACAAATTACAAGTTATTTTGAATTTGTTAAATATTAAGTTAACCTCTTTCTATAATACTCAGCTCATATATATTTCTTTAGAAATAAAAAATTCTTGTTCAAATTTATTTAACTCATAGATTCTTTTATAGTTAACTAGGCAAGTAAAAGTTGGTTTTGTTTATAGATTATTAGTATATAGATTTTATTATTATTATATTTTAAAGTATATATTCTATTTTCTAGTTATAAATAGCTTGATTTTATTTTATTTTTTTTTGTTATTAAGGCAGCTTACATTGCTGAAGGAATTTTATTAGAATTGCATATGAGATATACATTGATAGTCTCTACTGTTTGTAATTACATGAAGAGTGTACAACAAGCCATACATACAACTTTAGTCATTGTCTAATTTAAGTAG